AGTGAGAAATCACCCCCTAGAGGGGATGGCCATACCACAATCCTTTCTCCTCCATTCTCCTCTCGGGATCTTGGACACACACACACACACGCCCGGTGTGAGTTTAAGCCACTGGGTTCAGGATTTGAACCACGGTTGACTACATGGAAGTCCAGCAACATAGCCATTATGACAAATGCTGGTCCCAACCACAAATTTTTTTTAGAGTAAAATTCTTTTCCAATAAAAATCTCTCTTGTAGAAAAATAGATCAAAACCTAAACTATTCAAAGTTCTTATCAATCTGATGAGTGAATTACTGGGAATGCAAACTGGAATTCTACTGGGTCTCTTTTGAACTATGACATAAAATTTTGTGTAAGAAGTAGCGTATATACTTAGTAAAGTGTTCAGAAAAAAGGCTTCTGAGAATGCAGGCCTCACAAAAAAGTAAAAAGCCAACGAAGACAACAAAAAGATACAAACCCTCCTAAGGGTTAAAAAGCTTGGGGAACAAGAGCACCTAAATCATATTTGTCCCACAGGTAAATGAGCTGAATCATTTTATCAGAAATGAAACCAAGGCGACTTGGTTTGTGAGAAAGCAGACCTACAAGAATGTGAGCCAATATATGGATTTAACACCAGAGGTATTAAAACTGAAAATAAATTACATTATATGGATAGTGTTCATTTCTATATTAGACATGATTGCCGACAGCAGAATACTGAGATAAGAGAAAGTACCAGAACATTCTTTGCAAACACTAAGTCTTGTCATCATAGATTGCCCTTGTTAAGTAGCAGTGGTTTGTGGGAACTCAAAATTCTTTTTGAATATGCACCTAATATAATAATATAATAATCCCATATATATTATTTATTGCTCCTTCTCAACAAGAGGCTTTTTATAGATACTTACGGAATGAATTAACTTTCCGAGAAGTCAAATATTAACTAAAAATGATCATTTTAATTACCTAAAAGTGGTCAATCAGCCATGTGTTGAAAAGACTTCCAATCAATTTAATACATATAACATTGTTATAAAGTACTTTGTAAATGTAAATTGTCCAATAGATGGTATATAACCAGAAAATTATTATCAGATAAAATAATTTATCAGTCACAAAATGACCATAATGAATCTCTATCATATTATCCCCAGGATTGAGGAAAGAAAATACTACATAAATAAAACTGAAATCAGGAGAACTAAGTGTCATTAAATTGTCACTTTAAAAGGTAAATGTCAGGACCAGCAGATGACATAACGGCTAGGTCAATAGACTCCCATGTAGTCAACTGCTGTTCAAGTCCTAGACCTGGCAGCTTAAAACTCACACCAGGTATGTGTGCATGTATGTGTGTCCAAGATCCCAAGAGGAGAATGGAAGAGAAAGGATTGTGGCATGGCCACCCCATTGGGGGTGATTTCTCGCTTTCTGTCTCTCTGTCAAGCACACGCTCCTTATAGCAAAAATCTCTCTCTTTAAAAAAAAAAGAAAGAAAGAAAAACAAATTTTCAGTAAAGGCTAAAACAAAACAAAAAAATTCAAGAACATGAAAACTGACTGGAATTTACTTTATTAGTGTATATGTTTTTGAAGTAAAAAGTTAGATACATGATTCTAACTGATAACTCCAGATAATATTTAATGGGTAAAGCAATATTTGATAGATTATTTATGAATACTTTTTTAAAAAATGCGTAAGGTTTGGGAAAATGGGCAATGTATTTTCTGCTCTGTTTCCTAATGTCAACCAATTTTCATTACTCTCTAAGGAAGGCACTCCAGAGAGTAAGAGCTGACATGAGCTGACTTTCATTTCTTTATTATAAAATCAAAACATTATGCCCAAAAGGAAAAAGTCTTGTCAAAAATGTTAAATATACACTAAATGTTACTCATCAACTCTTTGCAAGAAGTGGGAGGCTGGAAGTTGTGTGGCTAAGGCAACAGAGAAAATGTCAAGAGTAATGAAACTGAACCCCAGGGAGGTCTTAATGACTTAGCTACTTTCTCCATCTATAAAAAAACAGGACACTCTTACTGCTGTTTGTGTTAGGTAATTAACAGCTGTAAAGCACACTGAAAGTAGAAACTGCTAAATAAATAATGACTGCCAACGAATTTTAACCAGAATGTGCTAAATAATAATGATGAAACATGGGCTTCTAACTTTACCATTTTTGTTTTCAAATTAATAAAGCAAACAAATGATTCCGCTACCATTAATCTGGCTTAGTCCAGTGAGAAGAGAGCAAGTTATATTTAGTGACTAGAAACCACAGAAGGGATCCTGTTTTTCCAAAAGATGCTGATCAACTCTACATGTCACAATGAAAATAAAGCCATTCTCTCCTCCTGTACTTATGGAAGTGTGCCAATGTGCCTCGGTTTGCCTTCTGATTAATTCCAACTAGAAGCCAGTCTGTTAGAAAATCCTATAAGCAATTAACTCTTTGAGAATTTCCATTGATATCTAATTGTTCAGCGGGGACAGGACAGTAGTACAATGGTAAAATGACCCACATGGGAAGGTTCCAAGTTCACATCCAGAGTCGTCTCTCAGTCTGCCAGCATGGGTGTGTGCCCATGATCCAAGGCTAGCTGAGGCTGGGGGTGGGTAGTGGCATGGAGATCCTATTGAGAGTGTTCTCTCTCTTTCTCTTTCTTCTTTTTCTGGTTCATGGAGTAAGTGAACTTTAAAAAACAATTTTTAAGCTCTATAGTAATATTTTAAACTATTTTCTGTGAATGAACACAACGGCATCAGTCAAAATGACTGTTCTCTTGTTCTTGACATTTTCAATCTCTTGGACTATACTATTGATAAGATTGTGGACCTAAGAATGCCTCATGCAGTTTATTTGTGTGTGTGCATGGTGGGGGGGGGGGATTTCTTTGAGAGGCTTTTGCTACAGGGTGCATGCATTTGCCAGAAAGACAGAGAGAGACAGAGAGACAGAAAGCAAGAAGTCACACCCACCCACCCACCCCCACCAGGAAGAATGGCCACACCGACATCCCTTCTCTTCCATCCTCCTCTCGGGATCTTGAGCACACACACACACACACACACACTCCCGGCATGAGTTTAAGCCACCAGGTCTGGAACTTGAACCACAGTCGGCTACATGGGAGCCCAGCAGCATAGCTATTATGCCAACTGTTGGTCCCGCCTCATGCTGTTTAAACTTGCTTACTGAGGACATAAGGATGAGGAGATATTGGCACCAATTTTAAGACTTGCCTTCCAAACACTACTCAAATGATTCTGAGTGTGTCGTAAGATTTAAACTATGGACCAAGAGAGCTAACATTACTATGTATATAGTTTTTTTTTTTTCATATGCACTTAAAATAAGACTGTTTACTCTTTTCAAAAAAAGAATTATAAAACATGGAAAAATGAGGAAACCCTTAGAGATCAAATACATTTCAAACATTTCTCATTGAAAATACATCTTGAAAATAAGGTCTTCTACATTGCTATGGTTTGGATAATGGTTTGTCTCCTGAAGGTTCATGTTTGGGAATTTGGTCTTGGTGAGCAGGGGCCGAATGTTTCCCAAGAGTTCACATGTTGGGGCTTGACTGTGTTGTAAAGGTGCTGTGTCCCAAGGTGGGGTCTTTGAGTGTGATAATATCTTTAGAGTAGGGCTCCCACGACTGACTTCTGGTGTATATCCCAAGGAGAGAAAATGAGGCAGGTAGAGCCATGTGGATACAGACCATGTTCCACTCTGCTCAAAGTTCTGCCTTTCACAGGGCCAGCAGTTAGCATAATGGCTATGTTGCTGGACTCCCACGTAGTCGACGGTGGTTTGAGTCCCAGACCCGGTGGCTTAAAACTCACGCCAGGTGCGTATGCGTGTGTGCCCAAGATCCTGAGAGGAGAATGGAGGGGAAGGGATTGTGGCGTGGCCATCCACCCTAGGGGGTGATTTCTCGCTTTCTGTCTGGAGAGCACACACGCCCTAGAGGAAAAACCTCTCCAAAAAAAAAAAAAAAATTCTGCCTTCCACCAGTTTATGATGCTGCATGCTTTTCACCAGAATCGTTTTGCAAATAAACCTCAATTTTCTTTATAAATCACTCAGTCTCAGGTATTTCTGTTAGCAACACAATAATGGGTTAAGTTAGTCCACAATCCACAAGCTGACTGAGGTTCTGTTCATAAAGTAATTTCTTCTGTGAATTTTCTGTATACTTGTAAATAAACTGTCACTACAAAGAATAGTTTCGGGAACCAGCAGTTAGCGTAATGGCTATGTCGCTGGACTCCCACGTAATCGACCGTGGTTCTTGTCCTGGACCCGGTGGCTTAGAACTCACGTCGGGCGCGTGTGCGTGTGTGCCCAAGATCCTGAGAGGAGAATGGAGGAGAAGGGATTGCGGCGTGACCATCCCCCCTGGGGGGTGATTTCTCGTTTTCTGTCTCTCTGTCTCTCTCTGTCTGTCTGGCGAGCGCCCGTGCCATATAGCGAAAACCTCTCAAAAAAAAAAAGGGGGGGGGGAATAGTTCCAACATCACTGAATAAACAAGACTAAATCCTGTTTACTACATATTTTGGGGAAAAGTCATCCTCCAGTCATTATTTTGAAGAAAAATTAAACATCTACATATAAAGCTGAAGTAAAGGGTATTATTCACATTAAAATGTAAATATATAATTTTATCCTTATAATAACCAAGACCTCAAAAACCAATGTTAGTGACTCACATAAATTTAATTGTGACATTAGCTTTTATAATCATAGATGTGAAAAGACCACTGTGTTCTAAACATAATTATCTCACCAGCATCTCATTTCACAAAATTATTAGTTAAGATGAGAGCCATGGAATGAATTTTCATTTGATTAGTCTCACTTATTTAAGAACATTGAATAATTTAAGATCTCTTTTGATAAAAGGGAAGCAAGAGGGGCACTTCTGAGAAGTGCTGAATTCTCTACACCTTGCCATTTCCAGACAGACCCCACGTCCTTCCAAATGACAACTGCACGTACCTTCCAGATGAAGCCACATCAATCTTCCTTTCACACTGACCACGGAGGCCACACAGAGTTCTCCCGGATTCCTGGGATTCACAGCTTCGAGTTTCATGTTCTTTGTGAAACCCCGACTGAATGATGTCTGAAAGAGATAAAAAAAAAAACAAAAAACAAAAAACTAACACTGAGCCCCTAGGTACCATGGCAGGATACTAGGCAGCACCAAGCCTGGCCAGATGAAGATACAGAAATGCACACACGCACATACATGTCTTACTTATACAGCCAGGGCTTGTTTACATGGCTGTCTTCACAATCACTCACGAGGAAAGAACTGTGTATTCTTTCATTTTGTATCCCAGAAATTAGTTCCAGGCTTGGCACATAGTAGGTGCCTGATAATAATTGTTGAATGAGTGAGAGTGTCAATACACATCTTTTTCCAGTTCCACATGCACCCTTACAACTTTAGGATCATGGATATATTATTTCCTCTACTTTCCTGTATTTCTTGTTAAAATCATACTGGCATACTTAAGGGTGTTAAAGCTGGTAGACCGAGTATCTGTCATCACTTTCCTTTAGAGGATATTTGAAGAACATTCTTAAGAATTTCTTATAGTACAGTACATGTCTGTCGGTGACTAATTTCCTTTCGTTCTGTTTGCATATGTTTACTTAATTTTCAAAAATCACTTTGAAAGTTTTTACACGTAGGAAAATTCTTTCTTTTGAGTTTGTTCTTCTACGAAGGTAGGGCTATTAAACCAGTGCACAGAATCATATAACCACAGCCGCAATCAACATACAGAACAGTCCTTCCCTTCCAGAATATCCTTCCATTGGGCCTTTAGTAATCAGCCCCTCCTTGATGATGCCCAAGTCCAGGCAACCACTGTTTATATTCTGTTCCTATTCTTTGACTTTTTGTCATACAAACTGAATCATACTTTACGTAACCTTTTGAGTCTGGTTTCTTTCACTTGGTATAATGCATTTACGATTTATCCGTGTTCCTGCATGAAACAGTACTCTATTCTGTTTTACTGCCCAGCAGTTTATGAAGATGTACCACAGTCGATCTGTCCATTTGCCAGTTAAAGGACATTTGAGTGTTTTCATTGGTAATTGTGAATAAGGCTGCTATAAACATTCAGGTCCAAGTTATTGTGTAAATATAAATATATGAATCTGCTTAAAATGTCTTAACAAAATACCACAAACTGGGTCGCTTAAACAGAAATTTATTTCTCATGGTCCTGAAGACTAGAAGACAGAGAATGAGGTGTCAGCAGTGTCGACTCCCTGAGGCCTTTCTTCTTAGCTTGTAGATGTCTCCCTGTGTCCTCACATGGTCTCCTCTCCTCTGTGTCTGTGTCCTCATTTTCTCTTAAATTAACACTAGTCATATTGGATTCAATCCCACCCATATAACCTCATTTTACCTTAGTTACTTCTTTTTCTTTTTTCCTTCAATTTTCTATAGGGAATATGTGCTTACCAGAGAGAGGGAAAGTGAGAAAGCACCCGACAGTGCAGATGGCTATGCCTCAATCCCTTCTCCTCCATTCCCATCTCAGGTTTTTGGGGATGCATGCATATGTGCCCAGCATGTATTTCAAGCTGCTGGATCTGGGACTTGAACTACGCAGTCGGCCGTGTGGGATCCAGCTGTCTTAATTACCACACCATCAGCGGGCCCCTTTAATTTCTCCTATCTATCTCCAAATATAGTCACATCCTAAGGTACTTGACTGAGAGGGCAGGGTGCGGGGGGAAGAAGGAATCAAGATTCGAGCAAATAAACTTAGAAGAATACAATTTAACCCATAATACTAAGTTTTCACTTCTCTAGAAATAGAATTGCTGGACCATATGGTAAATGATATTTAAACTTCTAAGGAACTGCCAAATTGTTTTCCAAAGTGGTTATAACATCTTGAATCCTCCCCTTCACCCCCAGCAGTATATGAGAATTCCAAAGGCTATACATCCTCATTGGCACTTGATATTGTTAGTTTTTTAAAATATAGGAATTCTAATATGTAAGTAGTCATCTATCACTGTGGCTTCAATTTACATTTTCCCTACTGATTAATGACGCGGAGCACTTTTGCCTGTGTTGGTCATTTGTATATCTTTAGAGAAACGTCTGTATTTATCTCCATCTGGTCACTTCTTCTGGGACTTCAATTATACGTGATATTGTCCCACAGGCTGTATAGATTCCACTTGTATTTGTTCCTCCTTATCAATCTTGTCTCTGTAATTCATGTAGAATTATTTCAATCTTCAAGATCATGGACTCTGCCTTTGTCATTTCCATTCTGCTATTCAGAAACTCAAAATAATTTGTTTATTTCAGATATTGCATTTTTCAGTTCTAGAATTTCTCTGTTATAGTTTCTAGTTCTTCTCTGGGACTTCCTATTTTTCCATTCAGTATAAGAATATTTCCCTTTATATCTGTGTTTCTCGAAATTTTGGGGTATCAGAATCACCTTGAAAACTTTTTAAAACAGACTGCTGGACCTCACTAAAGTTTCTGATTCAGCTGATTATAGGTGAAGTCAAAGAATTTATATTTCCAAAAGTTCCCAGGTGAAGCTGAAGTTGCTGATTTAAGGACCACACTTTGAGAACCATTTCTTTATGTCCTTGAGCTTAGTTACCGTAGAGGCTTTAAAATATCTGTTGGTTGGGTCCAGCATCTGGGTCATGCTGGGTTTGGTGTCTGTTGACATTCTTTTCTATTAAGAATGATTATGATTTTCCAATTTCTTTATCTCTTAGAATATGGATGTTATAAATATTATGTTGTGGAGACATGTGGTGGAGATTCTAGATTGTGTTATATTCCTACCAATGGTATCAATTTTCTTTTTGGAGCAAGAAATTCACTTGCTTGCACTGAAACTACAAATTAAGTCTCTTGAGAAACAGCTCAAATCTCATTTTAGTTCTTTTATCTTTATGTAGGCTTCTTGGAGTCTGCCTGGTACATTCATGACTCAGGAATCAGTCAAATTTCTAGACAGAATTCATTCACAGAATTTGTAGTTCCTAATCCTGGCTCTACCTTGTCTGATTCTTCCTTATTTTCCATTATCTGTGATTGCCTAAATTCTGTAATCTGGAATATTAGGCCAAAAAGACTGTGCAATTATATATCACTCTTTTAGTTAACAGACCAACTATGGCTGTCCTCAGGCTAAAAGTCTTAAAAAAAAATAGAACCACTACATTCAAATATGTTAGAATGATCTGAAATGATTATGTCTTTATTTTCCCTTTGTTCTTTTTGTTTTTATTCATTTTATAAATTCGCTATTTAAGATTGTACATAGTATAAAACTTATTCTTTTGGATATACTGTTCTTTTCTTCCAACCTTCAGCTCCCATCCAGAATATGCCTAGCTTTTATTTATTCTCCACTATCCTTATGTAATTTGTTTTGGTACTATGCCCAGAGTTTATAGATGCTATTTGTGAGAGGGTCGGTTCAGTGCAAGTTTTCTCAGCCAATACTGAAAACAAAATTCTCTTCTAAATATTACTTTAAAATAAAATAAATATGAAATTTCCTAAATTGTCAACTATAATAAATTATAATCAGACATTTAAAATATTATATAAATGTGTCTATTCTGAAATCTATAAACCAAAATAAACAGGTTCCTATAAGTAGATGACTCATGGAAAGAAATCAAGGTAATTCACATTTTTTTTTTTTTATAAAATGTAAGTTGAAAAATACAACTATGCCTTTATGGAACCAGAAGAAAATGATCCAAAGCATATTAATAAGGCAATATCCTCCTTTCTGTGATGTCTCTTTGGAAATAGGAACCAAAGATATTCTAGGTGGGCTATTTTTTCTGGCAAGTCATCCTGCCTCATCCACACATTATGTATTGAGTTGCTTTCTGGTAATACAACTCAATAGGCTACTTGAAAAACCTCTAAGTAAGTTAAAATGTATTTTATCCTACTTAATAAGAGGAAGCTACAACCACATACCTATTTTCATTTCAACTCACTGCTTGAGGGTAATTTATAAAGGATCAATAGCAAAACTGTTACTTGTGAGTTTATTTTACCAAGCATTTGGCTGTGTCAATCCATTTCATAACTGCCTCTGATTGTTAAACATCCCTGGGGAAATGTCTTCCATGCATCCAATTCCACACTCACTCTCTTCTAGTACACATGAGATGTGTGATTAAAAAATGAATTCATAATAAGCCTTCCATTAAAGAGCACTTGCAGCAAGTTAACAAATTCAGCAAAGGACCAGTAATGCAATGCATATGCCAAGAGGCAGACAACAATTCTGTCTATTAAATCAACGAAGAGCCAGAAACAAAGGCATTCTTAATGAATACACCAGTAAATTCATTAAAACAAATTTAATCTTGGTAGCTAAATCCTGAAAGCTCAGAAGCCACCTGGGATGTGGCTACTTGCCCCACCATTAAAAGTCATTTGGATAGCTCCTGGCTGACTAGGAGCAGAGGACAGATTTAAAAAAGCTTTAGTGGAACTTTGTTGTCACAGAAGAAATACCTCCCCTAAATATAAAATGAAGGAAAGATGTGATGATTTTCTTCCTCAGGCTAAAGAGTCAGGAAAGGAATATTTCTCTTGCTGGGCAGAAAGCACAGCCTCAAGAAGGTTTGGGGATGTTACGGAGTGTTTCCACTGTCCTAAATGAAAGGCAGTTAGCCCAGTAGATCCTGCAACAGTGACATAAATATGGTGAAAAGTCAAGTAAAGCAGCTCCAAACTTTCTAAAAGCTAGCTGCTATTATCTTCATGGGGGCATGGTTACACAGATGTCTCCATCATGCCACCCACCACACGGCACACAGTTCTTCAATGCCACAGAGACATTTTTTGTGTGCAAAGGCAATTATCACCAGTGAAACAGTCATTCAGTTATTCAATGAGTTCTGGCTTCCAACTGACATTGGTTTTTGTTTGTTTCGTTTTGTTTTGCTTTTGTTTTTGTTTTTGTTTTGTATCTGAGTATAAATTGACCTAATAATCAACCTAATTCATTCTCCAGAATCCAAATTTGACTTATGCTCAGTTTTGAGCTTCTATATTAATCCAACTCCATGCCCTTTCAGGTTTAAGATTTTGTTATCCTTGTAATACAAATTATGCGAGGGGTGGCAATGAATCAGCAGCTGTCAGAACAAATGTTCAGCAAACAAGTCTTGGATTTGGGAGAGCTTTGTATTACTGCACCTACAGGTTTCAATGAAAAGAATCATATATATATTTTTTAAATCTAGGAAAAGAACATTTATAACTTAAAAATAATTGGGCAAATGAGGCTATATATTTGTACCTCATTCTTTTTTTTTTTTTATTTTAACTTGACCAGAGAGGGACAGAATGAGAGAGAGAGAGTGCATGTGTGTGTGTGAGAGAGAGAGAGAAAGAAAGTGAGAAAACAAACCACTGGGTCCAGGGTTCGAACTGTGATTGGCCACGTGGGAGTCCAGTGCCCTGAACTACCACGCCACCTGCCAGCCCTGTACTTTATTCTTAAAAAAAAGAGATAATAAGTCAAGTTCCTTTTCATAATTTCTAGGGTTGATAACCTTTAAACGAATAATTCTATAAACTACTTTATAAAACCACCTCTTAAAACTATGCAAGATACACATGAGTACACACACACACACACACACACACACATTCATTCTTGTTCTGTATCACAAAAGCCCTGTTATTTTGCCAATACTCTTTACCTAAATAAGATAGTAGTTGAAAGTAAGCAAAGCACAGATCTGTTCGGCTAGCATCTTCCTACTAATCAAAATAATTACTACAGTGATCAAAAAAAATCAAGACTATCTTTTAAGAATAAAACTCTGCAGCAAAGATACTCCTATGAATGGTCTTGTCAATATTACACTCATAGAAAGTGTTATCTAACGGTGGCACAGATGATTAGCTGTCCCCCAGAATTTATCTTCTCTCTTGCACAGTACAGAATTAGAGCTGGGAAGCAGAAACCCAACCAGGACACATTACCTGGTCTCGTTTATAGCACGGTGCAGTAGAACAACTAGATCTCACCAAGGGAGAGCAAACAGAAGGAACGAGTGTCACCATCAGGCTACATTATTTAGAACTAGGGATATCTTCATCTTGATCTATTTTCCTCTCTGCTGGCGAGATGACAAATCTAACCTAACATGAAAACCACTCCTTAACCAGGAACACCCTGGGTTCTTCCATAAGCAAGAAATAGACTTTGAATATGTTCAATACATTTATTGGTCAGTTATTATAGCTCATCATCACCCCAATACACACCCTAAAAGGAGAACTTTTCAAAAACTCCAGAAGTTTTGTGATTCTATGGTATACAGTAATGCTCCAAACTGGCTCAATCAATAGAAACTAATCTAAAACATTATAAGGAACAACATCTAAGATTAAAAAGTAATCAGAAGGAAGCTTCTTACATTTCTGAAGCAGAAGGGAGGTGCTTCTTCTGCTCCATGCTGCTTGTGATAATCTGCCCAGTCGAAGTCCTGGCCAGAGTAACCTGAGAATGACAAAACAGAGATAAAACAGCAATGGTTAACCTATAATCCCAAACAAATGAACAGCATTACTGTGCATCAGTGATTAAAATAAGAACAGATACAAAACTAGGTCCCCTCTTAAGTCTGACAGCACTTCAGATGTTATGAGGACCAGATGAAACATGTCGGAAAAATGGTAAAGTGCTAAAAACAGGTATAGGTACCACCATCATCAAATTGTACCTCCTGGAACCAGATGAAGGAGGGCGGAACTTCCTATCAGAGTGCCTGCCAGGAGGAATATCTGCTACAGGAAAGAGGAACTGAGGCAGGATATAACACAAAGCACATCTTCACAACCCACTTTGTGGAACTAGATGATGATGTCTCCCTTCACGTGAATTCTGAGTTTATGAGAATTTAATTCTCAATGTCTTCATGAAAACTAAGAGACTTGATTGGGGATGGGGGAAGGAATAGTATGGGAGGGTGTAATTGTGAAAGAGTACCAGAAGGTAGAGAAGAGGGCAAATAAGCAGAGGTGTCAGAGATAAAGTCCCCAAAGAAATGAAAGATAAGGAGGAATGTAGACCTCGCCTTGGAACTGAACTTCTGAGGAAGCCAGAAAATGAGAACTGGGAAAGATAAGCCAGTCTGGTATGAAGATTTAGGGGCAGATCTGAGATTTTACAAGGGGTATAAGAAACAACTATTCATATACACTGAATTTAACTAAATGTAGATCTACCTAAGTGCTTTTCTTCTTTCTTTCCTTACTCACTTCATGGGGTGGAGCCTGGAGGGGTGCAACTACACAACGTATATCCATCATGACAGCTGTGGCCAGATACGGGAAGAAGTGAAAGAAAATAATCCCAAATCACATAGAAGGAAGGTGTAACCCTCACAGGAAAATGCCTCCTACTATAAGCATCATCCTCACAAAGTCAAACCAATGAACAAGTATGCAGGGAAAAAGGGACGATATGTTTTTCGTTTTTCCTGTAAACAAAAAATGGAAATTAAAATTATAGACCAATTACGATGAACTGAAAATGTATAAAATCACTATTATATTCATTTAGTGTGTTTTATTTGTTGAAGTGTATGTGAAATAAATTTTTTAAGTCTTCCAATAGTTTAATAGAAAGAATGTAGACATTTAAAAAAAATCCTCACTGTCATGAACATAAATTGAGATTTTTCTGCTGTAGTATAAGCTGAATCAAAAAAAGAAATAAAAAATCCAATAGTGTATTAATTTTTTTTTTCCATTCACTTGCCATGCTGACAGTGCAAATACAAATCTGGTCTAAATGTACAGACTCTCAGGCAACAATGTACAGCTTTCTTTGTCCTCCATGCTAAGAGACGTAAAAGCTTAAGGGCCAAACAATACCAAATGTATAGGCTTCAAAAATCATCTAAGTATGGGGGACCAGCAGTTAGCGTAGTGACTATGTCGCTGGACTCTCATGTAGTCGACCGCGGTTCGTCCCCGACCCGGTGGCTTAAACTCACGCCTGGCACGCCTGGCACATGTGCGTGTGTGCCCAAGATCCAGAGAGGAGAATGGAGGAGAAGGGATTGCGGCATGGCCATCTCCCCTGGGGGGTGATTTCTCGCTTTCTGTCTCTCTGTCTCTATCTGGCAAGCGCACGCGCCCTATAGCAAAATCCTCTCAAAAAAAATAAATAATCTAAGTGGGGCATTCGCTAGTTTTAGCTAAGATACATCTGGGAACACTGACAAGTGATCACTTACATACAATAATGTGAAGTAAATTTTTTGAAAAATACACTTTAGTGGAACAATCCTTAAAGATACACCAGAGGAACAGGTTTCAGGGATCAGTCAATTTTTGTTTCAGCCTCTGTGAATGCATGTTCTAAAAATCTAAAGTTTAGTTCTCTTTCCCTAAGCTGAGTGCTTCCTATCATGTCAGAATCTATGTTATGAAGTAACAATGGCTTTATCAATTGCCTAGGACCTCAACAGCTTCATGGAAGTCTGGGAAATGTTCACGCATGAGGTTACCGCCTTAGCTGACTTAAAACTGCCCCATACAATGGTATTTATCAACCCTTAGTGAAGCCTTTTAAAAAACAGAGTGAAAATGGGTTAAAGAAGGCAAATACAGCATCTGCCTTTAGAGCTCTCAACTCAGGAATTCTCTCAATTATGAAATTTTGCAGAGAAGTTATTTGTCTTTCTCAAAATCCAGGTGATGACAGCATTCTTTACTCCAGATCTGGCATCTTTTCATCATCACTGTCTTGTGAATCATCATCTGTTCCATCTACTTCTGGTAAATCTACATCCTCATCACCGCCCATGTCGTTCATCATCTCAGAGAAACGATCAAAATTAGACATTTATAAGGGGATTTTATAAAGTGAATTTTTGACCAAAGTCCTCCAATATCTTTTTCCTCTATTACCATAAATCCTATAACAGCAAATTTACTTAACATGGGAACTTCTAGTTACTAAATTCCACAGGTGCACAGTGACCACAGAAATCCTGTATTAAAGAAACTCAAGGGACCAGCAGTTAGCATAATGGTTATGTCGCTGAACTCTCATGTAGTCAACCGTGGTTCGAGTCCTGGACCCGGTGACTTAAAACTCACGCCAGGCACATATGTGTGCATGCCCAAGATCCCAAGAGGAGAGTGGAGGAGAAGGGATTGTGACGTGGCCATCCCCACTGGGGCGGGGGGGGGGGGTGATTTCTCACTTTCTATCTCTCTGTCTTTCTGGTGAGGGCATGTGCCCTACAGCAAAAACTGCTCCAAAAAAAAAAGGCAAATTTGATTTACTTACTTTTTTTTTTTTTTTAATGAGAAGAAGACATTTAAAGCAGCTGTCTTTCTCTGGTCCCAGAGACTGATAGTAGACCCTTCCATGCCCTGCTGATCATCATCATCAGAGTTATCGCCTCTTTTTTTAACGCATCTATTTCATTCTATAAAGACGGACAACCATTTCTTCCCAAAGAGGCAGGAAGAAGTCTCAAGACTTCTGAGATGCTGTATATTCTTCCCAGCTAGAATAGTTTCAAAGAGGTTCTTTAAGTGTTTCCATCTGGCTTTTCCCTAACCCTTCTCTCCAGTCTAATGTCTCTTGCATCAGAGGTTTCTGGAAGGGACCAAACTAACTTCTTTCTGAACATTTTTAAACAAAACAAAACATATTTTAAATAAGGTAAGGTAATGTGAGTTTCTCTACAGCTAACGTAACTCCACTTTGAGTGTCACATTTCTAGAACTGTTTTGGAGTAAATCCTTGCATTCATGCAAAGAACAGAAAAACTGGTCAAGGCCCCCCAAACTGGTGCGAAGTTTCCTAACCGTACTAAAACCACTGAACCCCAAAAGAGGACTTGGTTCTAATAGTAGTACGTTTTACCTCAATGTCAAAGTAAATTAGATTTTCAATACCTGACTTTCTCATCTACAATTTCCCAAAATAATGAGAAATGTTTTAAGATTCCCGCTGTCTGTCATATTCTATGATTCAGAGCTGCAGTATCTAATTATTTAAGTGTTACTACTTAGGATTTCTTCGTTTGTTTGTTTGTTTTTCCTTCTCTCTGTAGTAAATTCCCTTCTCTCCTAGGAGAAAAGTGTGACAGGTTTATGGAGAAAGGTTCTGTAGCAGGTCTCCTCTGGGAGACCTCACGCCTCAATCTTTGAGGACAAGATAAATCTCTGAAACATAGATCTTGTTTGTCTGGGTCTTTGGCAATGGCCGTGTTCAAGTCAAGATCACTTTCTATTCTAATATCTCTTCTATCTCTTCCTGGACTTCTTCTTCCTTAGTTCATTTTGTGAGCTAAAAAATACTTTCTGAGATCATAACAGAATCAGGGAGATCACATAGGAAAAGACTAAATAGATGAATAGCAGACAACTTTCTGATACAACATGGCATTTTAGTATGCTTTATAGTCAATATCTATTCGGATAAAACTTTGTTGTTTAGAAGACACCCCTACTCTTCACATAAGCATTCATCTGGGTTTTCTATCATCATCTTCCAGTGGGTTTTAACCCACTCCATAAAATGTCATGCTCCCTATTTTCTTGGACCTGCAGTCAGTCGTTCTATACAACCGATCTTCAACACTCTATCTGTGGGGAGTCATTTTTAATCGAATAATTTCTAGATATAATAAAGTCTTGCTAGATATTTTCTAAGCAACAATTAATTATTCTGCCCCTAGAACATGTTCATTTCCTTGAACGTTTGAACAGCTTAGACTTCTCCTCCTCCCCCTTCTCTTAGAGACCTTTATTCACTTCATCACTTAAAATTCTTTTCCTTAGGGCTGATAATGAGCTCTCTTTGTAAGGCAGTTTTGTGACAGCTCAGAAAATAACTGCTACATAAAAACAAATTGCTGCGGATTGTATAATAGAGACAACAGGGGTCAATTATACTCATTAATCAACAAAGACAGAACAAGAAGTACTAAGGCTTAACTGTAGCCAGGAAAACATGTTTTAAATCTGGAGGGAGGGAGGGAAATAACAGAGGGGGAGAAGAAAATAAAACCCCTCAGGCTATTAAAACTTGCGACAAGCTGCTATGGGAGACTGTTGAACCACAACCATTAGAGTTATTTAAGCTTTTATTAGTGTTTATTCTCAGTGAAGTTCCAACTATTACAGGTCCAAAAGGGAAGAGGTTGATGACCCATTTCCTTATAATATAAATTAATTGACATGTAACAGGTCCATTTGGAAATATTACTATTGGCAGTGCAAATGGACAATTCTTTTGAAATGCTATTTGGCAGTAAAAAATGTTCATACCTTTTAACACAACGATTTTACATCTGGGAACTTATCCCATAAAAACACTTTAAAAACTGAAAAAGTGTTATACATTAAGATACTTACAGCATTAGAGTGATAACTGGTGGGAAAAGATAATCAACTTTCCATGCAACAATAGGAAAAAATAATGAGACTTATCTAAGTACATGAAAGTCATAATATTCCACACAGTTTTTA